AAAAAAGAAATGACAATTCCATCGAAACTTATTATAAAATATAAAGTAAGTTTTTTAAATAAATTACTAAATAAATTATTTTATTTGCTAACTTTCTTAGAATATTTGTAGAGTATAGAGAATTTAGATAGGCAAATAATCAAGCGGAGGAATAAATTAAAACTAATGGATAAAAGTATTTTAGAAACTGACTTAATTACACGTTTTCTATTTTGCATTTTTATCTATATTGAGAACTAGGTGGAAAAAAGAGATTCATGTTCTGAAAAAGAGAAAATTGCTAACTGTCTGTGAAGCACTTCTTGCAAAAATTGGCGAACAATGCGTACGAGCGATCGGCATTTTGCCCTAAAGTTTAATCGCCGCACGACAATACTGTTGCAATAATTCGTGCGATACGCAGGTGCAGTAACGTGCACGCACATCCCTCGTATTTCACGCCCCTTTGGTTTCCGCCAGACACAGGCCACCGACTATACTCCACACGATGCAGCACGGAGTCTATTCGCATTATGTTCGCGTATCCTCGGACGCGAAATTAACAGTAGCGAGAAACGGGAGTACTGTTGGTATTAGAGATGTACTGCAAAAATCGATCAACTTTATCAATATCAATTAATATAAGATTATTTATTGATATATCAGCTAACACTTTTTGCTTACAATTAATACTTAACTATTTATATTTTGCAAGAAGGAGGAAATGTATATACACATGTGTGTAATCGATCAAATTATATGTAATATATATGTATGTATATACATAATATAAATATAAGGGCAGAATAGATAAAGGTTTAAATAGAAGAAGAGAGAGAGAGAGAGAGAGAGAGAGAGAGAAATCGAAAGTTGACTAAATCATTAATTCAAAAATATTATTAGGTACCAAGATCTGTTTTGATCAAATAGGTTTATTTCGATTGTTATTTCACATATCAATCGATTTTACATTAAATTTATTTTATTATTATTGAAGTAGATAATACTCAATTTATTAAAATTACATTTTATTACGTGTAATAAATTTATCTGCCCACTAATAAATTGTACAAAGCTATTCAATATATATAACGGTATTAATGGCATTTTTCTACAAAAATTTAATTAAATAGCCTTAAAATGCATAAAAAATTGAAAAAATGGTTATTTAAAATAAAAACACAGCTACGGAAACACATATTATTGCGATTATCATTAAATTTGTTGTTAAAAATTAGATTATATATCATATAAATATCATTAACAACTGTTCACTAAACGAAAAGGAATACGTTTGAATAAGAAGCACATTAAGCATTTCTATTCTGTTCGAATATCTGTACTGGATCGTTATCTCTAGTTACGTATACGGCGTGTACTGCTTTGTTTGCCGGAACGGATATTTGCTCGACGTGTCCAAAGCGGGGAAGTTCGAATTGCATTGGTCAAGACTACCGTGAGACTCCGCTTCGCGACGTTCAGATGGCAAACAGCATAAACACAAGGGCTAGAGGCGAGCAATCGCCCATTTCGGTTAACAAGCTTGAAACTATCAATTATAAACGATTGCAATATACCCAGACAAAGCAAATTTCTTTAGATTACAAATGTTAAAAAGATTCTAAATTCTTTGGAGTAAAAGTTGTATTTTCTACACTCAGATACACATCTACACGTTATACATACAAAAGATATTATAAAAATAAGGGTAAATTCATAAATAGAAATTTAAAAAAATTAGCCTTTTACATTCTTCAGCTTTGCGTAAAGTACATAAATATATAGTAACAATATATTTTTTGTTTAATTTTAAGAATAAAACATCTCTAAAATAGTAAAAATGTTTACAACGTAAAAAGATTACATAATTAATTAAATTATATTAGTAAATAATATTTATTAAGAAAAAGAAAATCTTTTTTTATAAAATATTTTCTTATGTACTTTTCTTCTTATATAGCTACATACACTTAAGAAAGTTATCCTTTTTTAGCAAATATTTTAAAAAAGATGTTTTATTGTTTTAAACATATATGCATTTATTTTATTGTAAAATATTTTTCTGCGAAATAAAATTTTTGTGATAGTTTTTCACAGAAATAAAGCTTGCACGAAATTTAAAATGCCATACATTTTGTTTTATATATATAGATAAATTAATTAGTAACTAATCGGCTATGCATTACGAAAAAGTGTTCTATGCCTAATAGTTATTGTTAATCACTTTTTATTTCTAAAGCCTCATAAGTTGCTTTATTTAAGAAAACAAAAATTGTTAAAACATAAAGTTTTATTAATAAATTTACAAATAAGATAAAGATATAATTTTATAAGATTTATTATTGTGATATAGATCTCATTGTATAGAGTGGATATATAAAGTCGATAACAATGCGCTTTAAGTAAAATTGAACAATCTGTGTTAATAAAACATATTAATTTTGTACGTAATATTTAATGTTATAAGATACGATGAAAGCGTGACAATCTGGTTATATTTCGTGTCAAGGTATTGGTTGAATATATTTTATATCAAGTCGCATACATCATTCTAAAAGAGAGAACCTTTAATATAATGGAGGCCAGAGAAGAATGAAAGGGTTGTCAGGAAGGCATCGGAGTCGAGGCGTGTCGCTCCTTTTTTTATCGATAATTTATCAGCGTTCCGCGGTGTAGCTTTCGTTAATAAATCTCCCCCTACGTGGAATCTGACTCTCCTTGAGTTTGACAGTGCCGGATACATATAGTCGACGGCGATACGGTGGAAGATTATTACGGTATCCTGCTGCAACCATGATAGCCATATTTTTCTTCCTCCGTTGCCCTCGCGCTTCTGATCATCGTCGTTCGGTGCTCTCCTCGAATACATCGGTACCGCAAAACGTTTAGTACCTGTCCCGTTAATAATATTTGCCTTCCCCCTCAACCCTTCCCAATCCTTCCCTCGAGACCATCCTGACCTGCTTCACGAAAGTTTGTGGCGCAACTGGCGCATAACTGGTCGCTCGGGTGACTTCTACAGGCTGATCCGAAATTACTTATCCGACGAAGTCCATACATAAAGATTCTTTGATCGAGTTTTTCTTTTGTTAGAGGAAATTTAATTGGATATTATTCTCTTATTTTTCAAAACTACATATATATATATATATATATATATATATATATATACAGAGTGTT